AGTGGTCCCCAAATAGCTCGAAAGCAGAGGAATTACCCATTTTCCATGCTCAGAGACTGCCCTCCATCAGTAAAGCCAGCAGGGAAGTGCCAGAGCAGCCGGCAGGAGCGACCCTCCCTGCGCCAGGCGCTGGGTGCCCGTGAGCCGGCTCTGCAGAGCCCGGAGCAGCTCAGCGCAGCTTTGGCCAAGCCAGGGCAGCCCAAGCCAGTCAGGGCCCTGGCAGCACCCTGGTTTAGCTGTGGAAACCCAAGCGATCCCTGATGCACGGGGTGGGCAGCCTCCCCCGTGTCCCCAGCATCCCCACCGTCGCATCATCCCTGCTGCCCGCAGCGTCCCCACGCCCTGTCCGTTCCCGGCAGCCTGGCTCTCGCCCCCGGGGACAGTATGTTTTTTACGCTCTTTGCCTTGCAGATAACGTTTGAAATCTCCAAGCCAGAGGAGTCGCAGATCCCCATCTGGATCATCCTTGGGAGCACGTTAGGAGGCCTCCTGCTCCTCGCCCTCCTCGTCCTCGCGCTCTGGAAGGTGAGGAGGCTCTTTTAAGATGGGCACTTCTTTTCCCATTTGTGCGTTCAGGGGCCTGGGCCACCCCCTGCTCTGTACCAGCAGCCCCGCTGAGTCCCTCAGCCTGTCACCCACGGGCCCTGGCCCTGCTGGGGAGCAAACGCGGCTTTTGGTGCTCCAGCCCCAGCTTCGCCACCTGCCATGGAGCCCCAACCAGCGTCCGTGGGCATCCCGGGGAAGAGGCCACACGTCCAAGTGCCACCAGTGCCTGGAAAACAGTCACGGTTGGGTCTGGTCCCCACAGTTCAAGGGAAGGTGGGGGAGTGACGCCCAAACCCTTCAGCCTCCCAGGCCCTCGACGAGGAGATCGCGGGTATTTCCCACGGGCTGAGACCCGGCCGGCCGCTCTTGCGAACGCCGGCAGGGCAGCACAGGGCGGAGAAGGCTGCTGCGAGGACGCCAGGCTGCCAGGGTTGCCGTTTGATGTTTATTAACCCGGTGGGGTTAGAGCTGGCTGTGCTGGCAGGGGGGCCGGGGTCCCGCTTCTGCGCCGGAGGGTTG